CAAGTTTTTAGAGGCAGTTAATCCCAAGGGAGAAGATTTTAAATCCTTCTGCTGCAGAGCAGCTAGTGGACTCAAACTGTATGCATTAGGGGTTGCAGAGTAGTTTCTTGCCTCTAGGCCACCAGAAAGAAATAAAATATTAATTTTAAAAATATGATAATAGAACTTGTTCTTCTTGAACTTGGAAACAACAGAGATAACAATGAATATCTGAATCAGAATACTGGAGTTTGACTGAGCTCTAAAGAATCATATGCATGCAACAAGTTGCAGAGAAGATAATATTCTGAGCTGACATAATTTGTATTTTTAGTTAGTATATTCTAAAGAAACATGGTCAGCTCCACAGTCAGCACTCTTGGCACAAGCAGCCAGGAAATCAGAAAGCGTATCACGATGGGAAAGTCTGCTGTTAGGGACCTCTCTAAAGTACTCAAAAGCAACAGTGTCTCTCTGGAGACTAAGGTGTGCCTGATACAAGCCTTGTTATGCATCAGAGAGTTGGACAATGACTAGGGAAGATAGAAAGAGAATTGACGCCTTTGAGCCGTGGTGCTGGAGAAGAGTATTGAATGTACCATGGACTGCCAAGAAAACAAACAGATTCATCGTGGAGAGGGTTAAACAGGCTACTCCTTGAAGGTAAGATTCTGGGGCTTCGTCTGACATACTTTGGACATGTTGTAAGGAGAGACAGGTCTTTGGAGAGGGACATCGTGCTGGGTAGGTTGGAGGGACAGCACAGGAGGGAAGACCCTCTATGAGGTGAACTGATTCAATGACTGGAGTAATCGGGATGGGTGTGTCAGGAGCAGTGCGATTGGCACAGGATAGATCAGGGTTTAGGGTTGTTCTACATTGGGTCGCTATGAGTCGCAAACGACTCGACGGCACATAACAACAACAACATATAAAGAAAAATTGTATTTACCAGATTTTATATGATATTTTAACTGGGGAATAACAGTAAGTATTTGATTCTGATTGTTGGAATTTGACTGATCTCCAATTTATCATTACACAGGGAGCCAGATATCGAGAAATTAGTATTCTAAGCAGGTGATGTTGTGTTCCAATGAGTTGACTACAACTCATAGTGATCCTATGAACAAAAGCTCTGGACTCTGCCCTTCTGCCTATCTTGAGCCAATTTCACTGTCTCTCACACATGTTAGCATTACCATTAACTGTGTCAACCTGCCACTTATAAGCAGATACCAATTATATTTTCAGTTCTGTATATGAAAGAAACACTGAACGTGTTCTATTCTTTAATGACTTTGTCCACTAGAAACATATTCATTACAAGAAATATGATGGTGGTATATAATCTCCTATAATTTGGAGGTATAAGTAAATATTTACATTGCACTACTTGGAAACAGTTACAATTACAAAGAAATAAGAGTTCCAAAATGTTACAATATATATTTTCAATTAAGATAATGGAAGAAAAACAAAACTTAATACATTCTTTACTGGCTTATACTACAAAACAAAACAAATAATAAAAAAGACAACACTAATGCCAAGAATTTGATCTTCTACGATTTGGAAATATTAGCAAATCTCTGTCTTAGAGGACTACAGTTTGAACTCCAGGAACTCATACAACTCATCATTTACACTCAAGCAGTTACAGAGAAGGTAGTGTTCTGAGCAAACACCAACTGTAATTTCAATTTAGCGTGTGAAAGAACCACAAATATTATGAGGATCTTTACTGAGTTGAACTACAAACAAAATAAAGAGAGGAAACTTTAATTCTAAGGGATACAACAGATAGTCTAGTGTTAAGAGGCTGTGCTGCAATTTCAAAGGCTCAGGGTTCAAATTAACCAGCTACTCTAAGGGAAAAGTTTATGCAATCTTCTCCGGTATGATTTACTACCTCTGAAAATCTGCCAGAGTGTCAGTTATCAGTTGATTCAGACTCAACTACACACAATTGATAATAGAATAACTTTTAGCTATTGATGAATATTTGAGTAAGATCACTGGAATTGATTAAACTCCAGTTCATCTTATACTTGTACCAAATTATAGAGAAAGTAGTGTTCCAAGGACATAGCAATTGTATTTTCAATTTATTGTTGTTGTTGTTGTTGATTGTCATCGAGTTGAGCATTGCTCATAGCAACCCTCTGAACAAAAAGACCTGAAGCCTTTCTATCACTATCATCATTTCTCCAAATTCATAGAGTTTCCATAGGCATGTGGTTTAGGAAGTGGATGCCACTACTGCTTCCAAACCTGTCTTAAATTGGGGGCTCCACCAACCACTGTCCACCTTAGGTAGTTATATGGTATTTGTCCCCCAGTGGTACAAGGTTTCACATCACAGCAAACCCAGATTACCTCAATACAGAAAATTGACAGAGGAGTGCTGCACAATTTAAAAGAATGTTCCTCCAAAAACAACACTAGACTCTCGGGCCCAACCAATATTTATAAGAGCCAAAATAAAATAACAAGGGATTAAAATATAATCCCTCAGGCCCAACTTTTAAATATAAGGGCCTTCCAGGAGGTCTTGTTAACTCTAAACAAGAGGCTTAACTATAAAAAACCACACATTCCACACAGATCCTCAACCAAAACAAAAGCACCATCATACAGAGTCCACCACTTCACTCAATGCCAAAATGGAGACCTGGCTTTATATGTTATTGCTGTTGCTGTTGTTTTTGTTGTTGTTAAATGTCATCAAGTGGTGATCCTA